TGACAATGACTTGTTTAATTATAAAATGCTCTTGTTAAAATAATACATGGAACATCTGCAAACAATTGAATTAATATGTACTCTATGTGGGTACAACTCATCATAAAGTGATTTCCCATAATCTGATAACTGAAAACTTTCATTGATCTGGGTCTAAAATCGCAGAGTATACAAGTGCAACCAAACTATGTCTCATACATGCTCAAGAAACTGCTTTTCATGAATCTGAGTAAACCTTGATGTACCTTTAATAACAACTTGACTTCTTTGTTAATTCAGGGCTTTGTATATTACCAGGACCTGGGTTTGTTTCAGTATCACCACTATAATTCTCATCAAAATGTAGCCCTGACACCCCTCTACATTTTCTACTGAGATTGGTAATATTACTACCCATCTGCATTACAATCTAAGCTAATTATTTATTCTGAGCATGCTCAGTTCTCTCAGTGCAGTAGGGAGAGGTAATTTTGGATTAAAATCTTGAAAAAGACACACAGAATTTTTCTGATCTGAAAAAAAATTACGTGCATATTCAACAGGGACTTGTTCATCAACCTGTCAAGTTTCATTGATATCTGCTGCATAATTTCTGAGAAAATGTTGGGGTGGAAACCAGAAATAATAGTCGGGGGACTAAATTACTAAAATATTTTTGGACAGATTTACAGTAATCCTCACAAGAAAAATCTCCAATACTTATACTGTTTTTGTTTTTTGTTTTTTCAGGTGGTGCTAAACCTTCAAAATCACCCCGTGCGAGAACACGAATAAGACGAAAAACTCAGAACACCAACATGGCACATCATGGGTATCCAAATATGTCTGTATATGAACTATTAGCAATGAGAGGAGATAGAGCTCCTTCATCAATTACTAATTTTCACCCATCGCTACCTAATATACCATTTGATCAGCACCTTCAACAGCACAGTATACAGGTTCAACAGCTTCAGATTCAGCAAAAGTTGCAATATATCCAACAAAAGCAACATCAACAACACATGCACAACTGTCTGGAACAAGGTGCAAACATCAATCAAATGAACTTTGATCATAGCAGAAGTATATCACCAGCATCTGCTAAGTCACCAATGCGATCACCGCTTCATTCACCTATGAAATCTCCATCAACAAAATCCCCAATTAGAAATCCATTTGATTTTATGGCTACAGAGACTTTCAGTTCTGATTGTGCAATGGACCCTCAGCAAAGAAATCCATTTATGAAAACATCTCCAATGAGAAAAAGTCCAATGTGTTCTAGTTATCCTTCCAACCCGAGTTTGAGACAGACTCCTAGTCCGGCAATGTCGTTACCTAGCCCAGCTGTATCAATGAGTAAACAGCGTAGTCCAGCATCAAGTGAACTAAGTTGCCCTAGTCCACTGCGCAGTCCCAGGGATCCAAACATACCTTTGGGTTCTGTTTCTGGGAAATCAACTGCTAGTGAAGGATCGATTAATTCAACATCAGGGAATGGGAATATACCTTCCATAATACCATTGCCAAGTAATCTAATCCTTCCTGCAAATCGTCAACCCTGTGGAAATAAAAGTAATAGGACACTTTCAACTGAAACAAGCTGTGGAACTACCAGTCCAACTACAACATGTGTGACAACAAGTACTGCAAATCAGGACTCTCAAACACTTATATCAACTGTGCTTACTAAAATGCTTCCTTCGGCTCCAATTACAAGTACTGCTTCTGATCAGTTATTGTCTGCAATGCATCCTGTCATGTCCTTGCAAGGAAAAACTAACCCATCGGCTTTGGAAGACACATTAAAAACGTATATTCAGCAACAGAATGATCTGACAAAATCTTTACTG